TAATAGTACGAGTAGTAGCCGTCGTACTCGTAGTCGCACTCGTAGTCGTAGCAGTGGTAGTAGTAGTAGTAGTAGTAGTAGTAGTAGTAGTAGCAGCCGTCGTAGTCGTAGCCGTAGCCGTAGTAATAGCCGCCGTCGTAGTAGTAGCTGTAGTAGTAGTAGCAGTAGTAGTAGTAGTATGTGTAGTAGTAGAAGTAGTAGTAGCAGTAGTAATATTAGTAGTAGTAGTGGTCGTGGTAGTAGTAGTAGTAGTAGTAGTAGTGGTCTACTACTACTGCTACTACTACTACTACTACTACTACTACTACTACTACTACTACTACTACTACTACTTCTGCTTCTACTACTAGTTACTAGTACAGCTAGTACTACGACCACTATGATTACTACCACTACTACTATAACTACTACGTTTACTACTATTATCACCACTACTACTACGACTATTACTATTACTATTACTACTACTACCACGACCACTACTACTACTACTACTACTACTACTACTACTACTACTACTACTACCACTACTACTACTACTACTACTACTACGACTACTACTACTACTACTGCTACTGCTACTGCTACTGCTACTACTACTTCTACTACTACTGATACTCCTGCTACTACTACTACTACTATTACTACTACTGCTACTACTACTAATATTACTACTAATATGAATACGACTTCTACTGCTCCTGCTAATACTATTGTTATTTCCACTGCCAGTACGTTTACTACTACTACTACTTCTACTACTACTTCTAATACTAGTACCACTACTACGACGACTGCTACTACTACTATTACTACTACTACTACTACTACTACTACTACTACTACTACTACTACTACTACTACTACTACTACTACTACTACTACTACTACTACTACTACTACTACTACTACTACTACTACTACTACTGCTACTACTACTACTACTACTACTACTACTACTACTAGTAGTACTAGTACTGCTACTATCATAACTTCAATTACCAGCACTACTACTTCTATTACCGTTCTTTCCACTGCTACTACTACCACTACAAGTACGACTACGCCTACGTCTACGACGCTGCTACTTCCACTGCTACTACCGCCACTAGCACTACTACCATTACTATTCCGACCATCACTACTGCTACTACTATTACTACACCCACTGCTACTACTACTACTACTACTACTACTACTACTACTACTACTACTACTACTACTACTACGACGGCTACTACTACTATTACTACTACTACTACTACTACTACGACTACTACTACTACTACTACTACTACTACTACTACTACTACTACTACTACCTTACGGCGGCTACTATCATTATCATTTCGGCTAGTATATCTACTACGACGACTAGTAGTATTACTACTACGATTATTACCACTACGACTACGACGGCGACTACTATTACTCTTACTATTACAACCACGACTACTACTATTGCGACAACAACAACGACTACTACTACGACTACGACTGCTACTACGACGACGAAGACGACTACTACTACTACGACTCATACTACTATTACGACTACGACTACTACTACTACTACTACTACTACTACTACTACTACTACTACTACTACTACTACTACTACTACTACTACTACTACTACTACTACTACTACTACTACTACTACTACTACTACTACTACTACTACTACTACTACTACTACTACTACTACTACTACTACTACTACTACTACTACTACTACTACTACTACTACTACTACTACTACTACTACTATTACTGCTACTACTACTACTACTACTACTACTACTACTACTACTACTACGACTACTGCTACTACCACTACCACTACCACTACCACGACCACGACCACTACCACTACTACACTACTAGAATGCTCGAGGGCACTCCCCTGCGGCCCTGGAACCGTGGAGGCCTGATGCTGCTCCCTTGCGGCCAGCGCCGCTTGTGATGGCCGACTCGTGGCGGGGGGGGGCGGAAAAAAAAATCAAAAAAACATCAAAAAAAAAAGATTCTTTGTTTTGACTTTTTTGTTCGCCCCCCCCCTCCCCCCCCACCCACCACCCACCACCACACGAACTCCCACCATCATCACTGCCCTGGCGGAGCGGGCGCCCACGGGACGGCTGAGAGAGCGAGGTGAGGGAACGTGTGGAGGGAATGGAGAGGACGAGTATGCCTGTATATACATATATGGGCCCTGGCCAAGGAGATGAGTGTCCAAGGACCTCCGAACAAACAAAACGACTCCCCCCTCCCCCCAATTCGTGCGTGAAGCGTTCGCGGTGGACCGAAATCCCTCCAAAACGAAACATCGATTCCAGCAGGGGGGGGGAATAGGCCAGGACCCATATATATATATACATATATACATACACACATTCATACATATACATATATACATGCTAAACCACGCGCGCGCTTCGCATCACGCTTCGCCTCGCATTAACCACTATACTAGAACCATCAACCGCCACAACTATTATCGTCGCCGTCGCTGTCGTCGCCGTCGTCGCTGTCGTCGTCACCGTTGTCACCGTCGTCATGTCCGTTGTCGTCATCACCATCCTGTCTCCCCTAACCTCCCCTCCACCTCCCCACCCTCGCGCTCGCTCAAACCTCTCTGGCGAAACAAAAAAAGATCGACCCACGGACCCGGGTAGGAATATAGAAATGCAAGGCATGGAATCGTTCACAAGACACCTGAGTGGGCGACGGGCAATTGCAATGCTGAGTGTATTGATCTTGATGTACCATGCCAAAAGGCTGTGCTGTGATGTGCCGTGCTGAACTGCGATGTGCCATTCCGCGATTGTGTTCTGCAGCGTTTTGGATCGAGGCCTCCCTAACATCCGAGTCCTGAAGGAGCTGATCTTACGCAGGAGGCATCTATACACCACCACCGTGCCAGGCCAGGGCCATCCTGGCGCTGGCATGGTGTATACGCACTCCTGGCCGAAGCCAGGAGGGTCTATACACCATCCTGGGGCCCAGGATGGCCCTGGACTGGCACGGTGGTGGTGTATAAATGCCTTCGTCGGATGATCTGCATCTTAAGCTCGAGCTGTCTGAGCACAGAGTAGCCACCCCAGAGCTAGTTGAAGTGGAAACGTGCGGGACGGTCACTCAACTCGACCTCAAAATCCGACTCAGCTCCGAAAGGGAACGACACGACGCGGGGCACAGGCTTACGGACGCGCCACAGGATGTGGCAGGGACGCAATAATTAGGGGATGCGCCAGGGGAAGTGTCAGGGGACGTATCAGGGGCCGTGCCCTGGACGTGTCAGGGACCTGCCACGGGATGTGCTAAGGCACGTGCCATGGGACAGCTAGAAGACGGCATGCCAAAGGACATTGCAAGGGGCGCGCAACGGAATGCGCAGGGGAAAGCCTGGGGACAAGCCAGGAAACGCGACAGAGGACGAGCCAGGGAACGTGCCACGCCGAGTGGCGTGCTAGGGAACGTGCCAGGATACGTACGTCACGCCAGAAAGTCGCAAGGGACGCGCCAGGAGAAGCGCCAGCGCGCCTGGGGACGCCCTACGGACGGGCGGGGTTGGACTGCGATGCACTCTACTGCGACAAGCGTTTCGCTCGAGACGTCCTCATCACATCCTCATGCTACGTTAGACATCCCCCCAAGCAACCTGGACACGTGAAAACAAGCGTTACGCTCGAGACATTCTGAGCAAATCCTCTTGCTAGACATCCGCCTGGGCGACCTGGACACGTGAAACCAAGCGTCTCGTTCGAGAAGATCCTCAACACATCTTCATGTTAGGCATCCGCCTGGGCGACCTGGGCACGTGAAAACAGTCGTTTCACTCGAGACATTCTCAACACATCCTCATGCTAGACATCTGCATGGGCGACCTGGGCACGTGAAACCAAGCGTCTCGTTCGAGACATCCTCAACACGTGTTCATGCTAGACATCCGCCTGGGCGACACGGGCAAGTGAAAACAAGCGCTTCGCTGGAGACGTTCTCAACACATCTCATGCTAGACATCCGCCTGGGCGACCTGGACACGTGAAACCAAGCGTCTCGCTCGAGAGACCCTCAACAAATCCTCCTGCTAGACATCTGCCTGGGCGACCTGGACGCGTGAAAACAAGCGTCTCGCTCGAGACAACCTCATCAAATCCTCTTGCTAGACATCTTCCTGGCCAACCTGGACGCGTGAAACCAGGCGTCTCGCTCCAAAATCCTCAAGACCTAAGCACGTGAAATATGCATTTCACCTGAGACATCCTTGGAATTGTGGCCCCTGGGAAAGGAACAATCTATAACACTAAACAAGCATTTCGCTCGAGACATCCTCAACAAATGCTGCTAAGCAAGCGTTTCGCTCGAGACATCCGCAACAAACGAACGCGCTTATTTTACTATCTGTTTTATCGATCGGAATTTCAAAACCAGCGTTTCGCTATGGACGCCTTCAACTTTTGAACTCGCCGACCCTGCGTGACTTTTTCTTCATCGCGACACAATTTCGCCGGCCCTAGGCAAGTTGAGGCCCGGCACTAACTTTACCTACTAAGAGAGAACCCTGGGCCTAAGCCCTCTCAGGACAAAAAAAATTGACGATACCGCCGCTCCCCGGACCTCTCCCGGAGCGCGACCGGACACCGATGTTTCGAGGCGAGTCTGGCCGCTGCGACGGGGGACGGGCAGCGGCATCGGTACCTCTCCCAGTCTCTCTCCCGTCTTGTTGCGGGGCCACGCGTTAGGAGGGGACTGGCACAGGGGGGGATGCATCGACCTGGGATCGGCGATACATCGCCGGTGGATCGGCGATAGGCCTCCGATAGTGAATCCGCACCTTCCTGGACAGGTTGGGACCATCGGGCCCCCATCGGCGATCAATGGGCGATTGGGGGTCGACGCAGCCCCCCTCTATGCCTATCCCCCCATATCGTTGCTGCTGACTTTGGCACTCATCAGCATCAGCCTCCCCCCTCTGGCAGGCGCCGAAGCGGCGCCTGGCATGGGCTGCTGGAGCCGCAGGCGCCTGCTGGAGACCGAGGACTCCGTCGGGAGCACCGCCGCGGTGATGATCTTGGGGCCCTGCCCGCCCCCATGATGCTGCTCAGGGCTGCACCTAAACGGTGTTTTTCGTTTTCGCTTCGTCTTCGTTCTCCCTCGCTTTTGTCTCCAGTCCGCCTTTGCTGCAAAACGAAGCCGAAACGAAAACGCCCACGAAATCACTAAAAACACCGTTTAGGTCCAGCCCTTTGATGCTGCTCCTTCAACACCTCCGCCGCCTCCCGGGCAGAAGGGAGGCAACGAGGGGGGGGGGGGGCGTGCTTGTTTTTTGGGGGAAGCCCTCGCCCCCCCCGCCCCAAGGCCCCTCCAATTGCGGAGCACTCCAGATGAGCGACGGCAGAAGGCACGAGAAGTGGGCAGGGCGAGCTGCAGGAACACAGAACCAGACTGAGCCAGGCAGCTCGAGACGCACGTGCCATTGCGAAGCCGCCACCGTGCCCTCGAGGCACGAGTTGGAGCGTCCTCGGGCCCCTTGCTCGAACCGCTGGAGCCGCAGCCCTCAGTCCTGAGCATTCTGTAGGCGGCCCGGACCATACAAAACTCACGAATCTTCTGGAGCGCGTCGCGTGGCCCCTGGGACCCGTCGCGTCTTGTCGCGTGACCTTTTTCGCCCCCACGAGGCCCCCAAAACGGGTCAAGAGGGCCTCGAGCCGCCATTTGGCGTCTCTGGGCCTTCTTGGCGTCTCTGGGCCTTCTGCATTTGGCTCTTTATTTGGCGTCTCTGGGCCTTCTTGGGAGTCCCATTGCGGCACTCTTGGGGCCCTTCTGGGGGCCTCTTGGGGGCCTCTTGGTGCTTCTTGGGGAGCTCTTGGGGCTTCCTGGGAACTCCTTCGGCCGAAAAGGCTAGACTTTTCGGTTCGTGCCCTTTTCGCCCCCAAGAGGCCCCCAAGACGGGCCAAGAGAGTCCCAAGATGCCCCCAAGACGGGCCAAGAGGGCCTCGAGTCGCCGAGAGATCGCTCCAACACGCCCAAGATGGCCTCAAGACGGCCCAAGATGCCCCCAAGACGTCTGGACTGCCGCTGCGACCGTCTTGAGACCATCTTGGACCGCCTTCGAGCGCTATTGGGTGGTCTTGTGGTCCTCCTGGGCCTCACTGCGGCCGTCTTGGAAATGTATTTAGCCGTATTGGGATCCTCTTGGGCCGTCTTGGGCGCTCTCGGGGCTGACGTGGGCCGTCTGGGGCCGAACATGGCCGAATACCGGGCCAGTAGACCTGGCCCGGCACAGAAACGGAAAGCGCGCTTCAAGAAAATGACCCGCCGTCCGATCTTGAGATCGCAGGTGGGACATCGTTGCACCAGTGACACCACCGCCAGTTGCCAGACTGGAGTACGCATCAGGAAAAGACGCGGCTCATGGTGCAGGAGTTCCTGGCGAGAGTGGCCGATAGCTGCTCACCCTGACCGCGGATGCAACATGCTGTTATAATCTGGCCCGGGGTGCGTGTGGCGCTGACGCCATAAGGTCAGGTGCCAGGTTCAACTCTCGGGGCAACGAGCACGCGGAGGAAGAGGAGGAGAAGGAGGAGGAGTAGGATAACAGGGAGCACGACTGCCCTGTTCGGCGTTTCTCACGTTGCCGCCGGCTCTTGCAAGCATTCCGCGCGTGGGGGGTGCCACGTGCGCGAGTCCTGTGAAGGCAGACTCCGAGACTGTTTGAGGGTCCGCTGCGCTGTTGTTTTCCCACGCAGTGTTTGCTGTAATCACCGTTGCAACGGAGTCCGCGAGGATTCCGACATTTTCTTGACGCGTCGAGACAGAAGAGTTGCAGCAGTACACAGTCTGGCCAGGGCAGGAGCACATCGCCTTCGGCGGCGTGCCAGGCGAGGCGGAGGGGAGGGAGAAGGCGAGGTGGAGGGAAGTATGGATGCGGTGGAAGAGGAGGAGGAGGAGGAGGAGGAGGAGGAGGAGGAGGAGGAGGAGGAGGACGGGGCGTCTTCCTCGAGAAGCTTTGCTCGGGGATCGCCGGTGTGGGCCCCAGGGCCATGGGACACGGGCGCGATCCTCGATCGCTCGCAAAGGGCAGATGCGGGCGTCTTGGGGGCCTTTTGGGGCTTCTTGAGGGGCTCTTGGGGCCTCCTGGGGGCTTCTTGGGGCGAAAGGCTAAACTTTTCGGTTCGTGGTCCCCCTCTTGGAGTCGTCTTGGGGCCCTTTGGGCCGTCTTGGGTGCCTCTGGGGCCGTCCTGGGGCCCTCTTGGGCCGCCGTTTTGGGGGCCTCTTGGGAGCCTCTTGGGCCGTCTTGGGGCGGTCTTGGGGGCCTGTTGGGCTGTCGTCAACGCCGTGAAAGCCGACAAGCCGTATATGCTAAAAATATACGTTTTCCTATGGGAATTCCATGATGTTGGCCTATTGGGGCCCTCTTGGGGCGCCTTTTGGGGGCCTCTTGAAGATTCTTGGGGGGTTCTTGGGGCTCCCTGGGAGGTTCTTGGGGCAAAAGGCTGGACTTTTCAATTCGTGGTCCCCCTCTTGGGGCCGTCTTGGGGCCCTCTTGGGCCGTCTGGGGCGCCTCTTGGGCCGTCCTGGGGCCCTCTTGGGCCGTTTTGGGGGCCTCCTGGGAACCTCTTGGGCCGTCATGGGGCGATCTTTGGGGCCTCTTGGACCGCCTTGAACGCCGTGAAAGCGGAAAAGCAGTATATGCAACAAGTGTACGTTTTTCACACAAACACACACACACACACACACACACACACACACGCACGAACGCACGCACGCACGCACGCACGCACACACGCACACACGCACACACGCACACACGCACACACGCACACACGCACGCACGCACGCACGCACGCACGCACGCACGCACGCACGCACGCACACACACACACACACACACACACACACACACACACGCACACGCACACGCACGCACACGCACACGCACACGCACACGCACACGCACACGCACACGCACACCCACACATACACACACACACACACATACACACACACACACACACACACTCATACATAAATGAATTTGGCCTCTTGGGAGCCTCTTGGGGTGCCTCTTGGGCGCCTCTCGGGGCGTCTCGGAAGCCTCTTGGGCCGTCTTCGGGCCGTCTTGGGCATGTTGGACCGTCTTGGAGCCGTCTTGGGCCTTTCTTGGACCATCTGGACCGCCCAAGAAGGCCCAAGAAGCGCCAAAGAGGCCTCCAACGCGCCCCTCCCCCCCCTCTGCACTCCCCCTAGGAAAGATTCGCCCAAGCACAACGACATCACTCATACCTCGCTGTTTCCGTTACCTGGGGCCGGCACGGAAACGGAAAGAGCGCTGCAGCAGCCTGCCCGAGAGGGTTCATGGCACTATTCGCTCTTGAGAGCCTTGGTGGTAAGAGTTTGTTGCGTCACCACTCGTTCTTGGGAGCCTTGCTGGTAAGCGCGTGTTACGTCACCGCTCTCTGTTGGGAGCCGTGCTGGGAAGAGCTTGTTGCGTCACCGCTCTCTGTTCAGAGTCCTCGTGCCCACAGATGCTTGCGTTGCCGCTCGCTCTTGGGAGCCTTGGTAGTAAGAGCTTGTTGCGTCCCCGCTCGCTCTTGGGAGCCTTGCTGGTAAGCGCGTGCTACGTCACCGCTCTCAGTTGGGAGCCTTGCTCCTCCTCTTCCTCCTCCTCCATCACTACTACCATTATCAGTATTACTATCATGAGTATTGTTATTATTAATATTAATTTTCGTATCATACTTCTTATAGGTAACAATAATAATGCTATAACAACTAATAATATTGTTAATACTGTTATTGTTACTTGTAGCATGATCATTGGTATGATTATTACTGGTATTAATATCAATATTATTGGTACCATCCTCCTCTTCGTTCTCCTCCTCTGCCTTATCCTCCTCCTCCCTCGTCATTGTCCTCCTCCGTCTCCTCCTAACTCTTCCTCCTCCTCCTCCTCCCTCCTCCTCCTCCTCCTCCTCCTCCTGTTCCTCCTCCTCTTCCTGTTCCTCCTCCTCCTCCTCCCTCCCTCCTCCTCCTCCTCCGCCTCCGCCTCCTCTTCCTCCTCCTCCCTCTCCTCCTCCTCCTCCTCCTTCTCCTCCTCCGCCTCCGCCTCCTCCTCGTCCTCGTCCTTCTCCTCCTCCCTCGTCCTAGTCCGTTTTCTCCACCTCCTTACTATCCTCCATAGTATCCTCATCTTTCTCCTCCTCCTTTTTCTCCTCCTCCTCCTCCTCCTCCTCCTCCTCCTCCTCCTCCTCCTCCACCTTCCTCCTCCTCGTCTTCCTCATCCTCTTCCTTCTCCTTTCCTTCCTCCTCCTCCATTTCCTCTCCGTTCTCCTCCTCCTCCTCCTCATCCTCCTCTTCCTCCTCTTCCTCCTCCTCATCCTCCTCCTCTTCCTCCTCCTGTTCCTTCTATGTCACTTTCTCCTCCTTGTCCTCTTCCTCCTCCTCCTCCTCCTCATTATCCTCCTCCCTTGGCCTCCTCTTCCTCCTTCTCCTCCTCCTCCTTTTCGTCCTTCTCTTCGTCCTCCTCCGCTTCCTCTTCCTCCTCCTCCTCCTCCTCTTCCTCCTCCGCCTCCTCCTCCTCCGAGGCTACGGCCGGCATCGCTGGAACTCTGCCAGGGCTGTGGGCTAAGGCTATGCACCGCATACCCAACTAGCCCGCGGCCCGTTGCTTCGGCCAGACCGACTCAACAAACAGGGCTGGAGCTCCAGGATTACAGGCCGCGCGGTGTTAGGCGATGTCCCAGGGATTATGCCAGGACTGTGGGTGAAGGCTTTGCATGGCATGCCCAACTAGCTCGCGGTCCGTTGTTTCGGCCAGCCCGAATCAACTTTACGGCAAGACTCTTGGAATCCGCAGCGCCGCATTTGTTTGGGCTAGGTCGCTGCGCGCGCCCCCACTCCATTTTTCCGGTTCGTCTTCAACTGGGGGCCCCGCCCAGCTCGTCCTCAGTCGAGGTTGCATCTTCGCGCCCGCAGGCGAGGAGGTTCGCGGGCGCGGGCTCCAGCACAGAGCGCTTACGAGGCTAACAACCTCACCAAATGGGATAACAGCTTCGGCAACATGCGGCAGTACC